TGGGGAGGGAGGTGGGAGGGGGGATCGGGATGGGGAACACATGTAAATCCATGGCTGATTCATGTCAATGTATGGCAAAAACCACTACAATATTGTAAAGTAATTAGCCTCCAACTAATAAAAATAAATGGAAAAAAAAAAGCAATAGGTGCTTTTCAGTAGAAAGCAGGACCAGCTGCCCATTTTGTGGACTTCTTGAGATTATAGGAGAGAAGAGAGAGCACAGATGTGATCAGAGTCTTGGACAAAAGATGAGAATTCAAGAAACTGTTTTCTTTTCCTTTCCCAGACTGAGGATACAAACAGAGGGAAGCAGATGATAGAGAGCTGTCCTCTTTAGAAAATGAAGGTCACTGAAGCTGTCCTCTGCTTTCAGGGGGACAAGCATCTTTATTCTGTTTTCTTACAAAAGCTCAGTAAGAAATCACTGTCAATTTATATGGAAGAATTAAGTTTCTGTCACAGCATCAAACAAGCAACATAATCCAGAAATAAAACCATTGCTCTTCTATGCACTTGTGGAGATGATTGTCATCACAGGATTAAAAATACTCAAAAAATTGTAAAAAATGCAACCTATATCACAATGCTATAGCACAACCATTAAAAAAATAAATTTACTTATTTTTGGTTGTGCTGAGTCTTCGTTGCTGCGTGGGCTTTTCTCTAGTTGCAGTGAGCAGGGCTTTCGCTCTAGTTGTGGTGCCCAGGTTTCTCACTGAAGTGGCTTCTCTTGTTGTGGAGCACAGACTATGCGCTGGAGGGATGCTTCAGTAGTTGCAACATGTGGGCTCAATAGTTGTGGCTTCTGGGCTCTAGAGCACAGGCTAAATAGTTGGCGCACAGGATTAATTGCTCCGAGGCATGCGGATCTTCCTGGATCAGGGATTGAACCCGTGTCTCCTACATTGGTGTGTGTGTATGTTAGTCACTCAGTTGTATCCAACTCTTCGCAACCCCATGGACTCTAGCCCCCCAGGCTTCTCTGTCCTTGGAATTCTCCAGGCAAGAATACTGGAGCGAGTTGCCATTTCCTTCTCCAGGACTGGCAGGCAGATTCTTTATCACTGAGCCACCAGGGAAGCCCCTAGCACAAACATTTTTTTCTGTTTTCTCTTCTAATCTTTATAAGGAAGCATACCAATATCTAGGAGTAGTATTAATGAATCAAAATGTAGAACCTGTGAATTTCCTATTTATATGTGTTCATTTTTAATCACTTAGATTCAAATAAATCAGTTTTACACAGCACTGAATGTTACTAAAGCTTTGGACAGTTTCTTTCTAAATTAATAAATATATAAATGATTGTATTACTGTTTTAGTTTCTATTTTTTAAAAATTATAAATGTCAAACTCTTCCTGAAATTTAATCACATGCTGTCTTAGATCACACAATCTATTCATTTGTTATTCATATGTTATTTCATTTGTTGGTTGGAACCATCATAGGATTGTATAAGGCTTTATAACTAAGAATAGTCAAATTTTATAGAAAAAATTGAAGAACTCAAGAGAATATAATCATGACCAAAAAATAAAGGATGAAGGAAAGATGGGCCCCTAGGCAAATAAAATTGGGTCAGAGTTCAAGAGGTCAACCAGCTCATCCTTGTGACTGTAAAGTAGCTTGAGTCAGTCAGTCAAAAATGGGAAGAACACATATTTTCCTTAATTCCATGCTCCGAGCTGGAAAGCATCTCTCAGAAGGATTTATAATATGGCTAGTGGCAATTTTATTGTGATTCATTTATCCAAGTTTACATAGTTAAATGTCAAGAAAATAAAGACTTGACCCTCTAAGATGCAAGATCACCTCTTGTAACATAAACCCTTTTATTACATTACTTAGTTAGCATTGCCTTTGGCTGGCCTGTGGTGAGAGGAGTCACACTGGGCACACATAGTTAGCTTTCTGTCTTAGACTTATGGCTAAAGTAGGTAAGTCAATGGAGCTTTCAGTTCTGTGACAAGTTTGTGATTTTATTCTTTATGGACCATTTGGCCTGCTTCTTAACTGCTGATGTTTTCTAGAATTCAGTTCTTGGCTTTCTTACCTTTTTACTCCATACAAGCTCCCTAATCTCATTCACAATCATAATTTCAGATTCCTTCTGAATCCCTACGACTCCCAGATACTCTCAGGCTCTCCGAACAATGTACATAACTGCTTCTTGTCTGTTTGTCCTTCATCAATCTATGAGTATTTGTGCTCAGTCATGTTTGACTCTTTGCAACCCCATGGACTGTAGCTTGCCAGGCTCCACTGTCCGTGGGATTTCCCAAGCAAGAATGCTGGAATGGGTTGCCATTTCCTTCTCCAGGGGATCCTTCCAACCCAGGGAGAGAATCTGCATCTCCTGTCTTGGCAGGTGGATTCTTTTACCACTGAACCACCTGGGAAACCCTTAGCAATCCACAGGAATCCCTAAATCCCCAGGTCCAAGTCTTCTCATCATCCACCACCCTAAAACAAATCCTCCTATTCCTGAATTTCTGATTTCAGTGACTGGAGCCAGAAATGTGGGAGTCGTTCTAGAATCCATTCTATCACCCAGTAGGTTACCCAAACCTGTTGACTGTGCACCTTTAACATCTTTCAGACCCATCTACTTAAAGTCCCAGGCTATGCTTTAGTCTGGCCTCCTCATTTCTTACTTTGAGGACTTCTCTAGCATTGCCACTGTACTCAAAATACACTCAGCAATCTGAGCACATCTCTCTGCCTCCTCCACTATCTCACAGGTCCAAGTTCCCATTATCTATTACTTGGATCACTGAAATAATTGCCTGGCCAGTCTTTTTATCTCTGCCTTTGACTCTGCCAGTGTACTCCCAACTCAGTTACCTGTGTGATTTTTTAAAAGTCTAAGTCAGAGTATGTCACTCTTCTGCTAGCTATTTTATGTAGTGTAGGTACAGTGTTAGTCGCTCAGTCATATCTGACCCTATAGACTGTAGCCTACCAGGCTCCTCTGTCCATGGAATTCTCCAAGCAAGAATACTGGAGCAGGTAACCAGTCCCTTTTCCAGGGCCTCTCCCCGAACCAGGGATGAAACCCAAGTCTCCTGCATTGCAGGCAGATTCTTTATTATCTGAGTCACCAGGGAAGCCCATTTCATGTAGAGCAGAAGTCAAAGTCTGATCTTTTTTCTTCTGCCAGTCTCCCCTTCCTCACTTTGCTTTAGTCACAGTGCGTCCTTGTGGTTTCTTGAACTTTTCCAAGCACATTCTTACTTTAAGGCATTTGTCCTTTTTGTTCTCTCTGTTCTCTTTTGTTCTTTCTTTGTCAAACTCTCTATTCCTAGTTATTTTCATAGCCTGAAAAGAAGCCTGGAACATAGTAGAGGTTTTATAAATATCTGCTGAATAAATGAATGAATTTACTTGTTGATTCCAGTGTTTCCTCCTGTCAAGTCAATAGAATGATCCTTCTAAAACACAGGTCTAATTCTCACATTCAATGGATTAAACATCTTCCATGACTCATTGCTCTTGTATTAATATCTAAGTGACTTAGTGTATTATATAAAGCCCATTAGAATCAACCTTATCTTACCTCTATGGCAGGTACTCCAAACTCAAATTTCCAACATTTCCATTCTCATTTGCACTTTCCTGTATTTTCACATAGTTGCACATTCTGTTCTAACTGAAATTTCCCACCCCCTCCATTTTGCAGTCTGCTAAGTCTCTGTAGTTTCCAGAGACTTCCTATTTCAACTCATCCATCCATCTATCCATTTAACTAACAGATACTTTTGGAGTACCTGCCATATGCCAGGAGCCATGTCAGGTACTCCCACAGCATCAGAGCCTCTTTCTACCACGGCACTCCAGTGACTCTGCTGCATTGCCCACTTTTCTAGCTCACTTACTAGTTTCCAAACTCCTTGAGGGCTTGGCTACATTTCTCATCTCTGTATTCCTAGCATTTAGTGTTGACACATGACAGGCAGTAATCAAAACTTAACCAGCACTGTACCTTTTTGGACAAATAACATCAAGTTCTGATTACAGATTCCAAATATACATTAACAATTCCTAAATGACTCATATTACCTGCCTATTATCAACTGATAGCTACAAATCAACAATTTCTGCTGGTGTGATGCGAGAATTGAGACTTTTCTTAGGCATTTTGCATTATGTTTTGAAACATTTAATAATGTTTTCTCTATTTAGATTTTCAGAATCTAATACCTTCAGAATACCACCTTGCAGAGTTCAACACCTACATTATCATAATTTTGTGGTTAATTAATTAGAAAAAGTGCCAGGTGAGAAACTGCATACTATTCTGACAATGTATTGCCATTGCTGTTATTCTGCTCCCATTTTAGGCAGTACCAACAAATTAATATAGTTGTACACCATTATTAATGGTTTTTCATGGCAATTTAGCATCAAAATCTAAACAGAGAAGAATAACATTTCACTAATCATCTTATTTATGACTCACTGCTTTGTTTACAGACCTCTGGAAATTATATTTGAAGAGCTTCCCATAAACATCTGATCTCTTTAATAATTCCATTTGTAAATTATTTAGCATCTGCATCCTGCCATTATGTAAGGACCATGTAGTTGTGCTGGATCATTAAAAATGCATTACTCTCGACCCCAGAATTCACCAATGGGATTTTATTATAAACACAATGAAATTTTGATTAGGGTTTTGAAAAAAGAGCTTGTCAAAGTAAATACTTGCTATCCATGTTGACATGTTATCACAGCACTGAAAAATAAGCAGCTTTTAAGAGAACAGTGATAATTAAAGTAAAAATTTATTGAATCAAAGGAAAAGAAATTGTTCGAAAACCCCATAGTAAAAACATAAAATTACTTGCAAGTTTAAAAAGTACTAGTAAGCTGAAAAGGAGAACGTATCCATTACCATCCAAAAGCATGGGATTCATTAAGTCACAATCAGATTGAAATCCTCAAAGTAATCTTTCTTTTTAATTCTGATAGAGTTCCATGAGCACTTAAAGAAATACAATGACACAGCCACTTCTGGGGCTCATTAAAAACCGACAGGCTGTTTTCCTTATGGGTAAAGCTAAAAGGCTTTGCCATTCCAAGACTGCTGGAAACTGTTTGTTCAGATGAGTCCCTTCACTAACAGAAATAGGAATATTTTGTGTTCTTTGTGAATTTCATTCACAAATCTGGAAGATGGTTGCTCCTTAATCTGCAAGGAGTTTATGCATAAATACCTTGAATTGCAGCACATATCCAGGCTTCAGAGTCAAATCTCGAGTTACTGCAAATCGGTCCCCATCTGATTTTCCAAACACCATGGCTGATGGCGTGGCAGAGCAGAAAGTTTCATTTTTAACCATTCCTTCATTAGCTAACATCAGCCACACACTCATTTGATTCATAGGGTAATCAAAAGCTGGTTTCTCATAAAAGTTCTAATAGAAACAATACAAACAACACAGAAAGGCAATTTGATAGCTCTGAAAAGAAGAAAGGAATTTTCAGTTTGTGACATGCTACTATTTGTATTACCATGTACTATTTGTGTTACATAAGAAAATAAACCATACTCTCAAACTGTTTTTTAAACTTCCATGAAGTTTTTCTCCTGATTATTTAACAACTGAAAATATTTTGCCACTATATATCTAATTATTTTATAAACAAACTAATAATCACGCTTAATGAATTGGCCAAACTTTCTAGTCTTTTCTTACATTTTTTAACATCTAAATAATCTGTGAAAGAGTAGCATAGAGAGGTAAAAAAAAATTAGTGCAAACACATAAAACCAAACTACACGTTCAAGTGTCAAGCACTAAATCCTTGGAGGAGCCAGTAATCCCATCCTCTTTTACAATTCTATGTCATCCTGGAGTTCAGACATAATGAGAAATACCTGAGGTAAAGTTGGATTGACAACTGGGATGATCTGTTTTTGTTTCTCGGACAGAATGATGATGTCGTCAACTGCCCACTGGTCATAGTCCTCCCCTGAAAACACAGGCTGCCACCAGCGGAACCTGGTGCAGGGGGTCTTGGCAGCAGCTGGTAACTCAAGATAGACAAATCTGCATAAAAGCAAATCATTTAGTGCCAGGAAAGGAAAAACTTTGTTTTTCTTAGCAGCTGTTAAAATCATACTGGTAGCAACAAGAGAAAGTTTAGTTTTGCTTGATCTCTTGGTATTTTTGAGAAATTTCTAAGTTTAGACACATTAGACAAGAGGTTTAAAGTTGTAAGCAAGTTTAGTCTTGGTACTGGCTTCTCCATTTGTTATCGTATCTTTTGGAGGCAGATATTTCAACTAAGTTTGATTAACTGAACAATGTCTTTTGACTACCATGGCAATGGTCATAACATTTCTAAAGAAATCCTTAGAAAAAACTGCTCCCTTGTATATTATTGCATTAAAATAGCATTAGTTTTTTCAAAACAGTTCTTACTTTATTGAGGGAAAATATAAATAACCAGTAAAAATGAAACATAAATCAATCTACCACATGTTATGTATCTACAAAACATAATCTACCACATGAGATTGGCCTCTGCTAACAGTTTGCTGTATATCATTCAAGCATGTATTCTTTTACACAGGTGAGATATATGTATAATTTTGTATTTTACAGTTTAAAAATTAACATTATATCATGAGCACATCCTCATGTCAGTAAACTTAGTTAAGATCATTTTACCATTTATATAATTTTTCATCACACAGATGTGCTACTATTTATCTCATCTTTCCTTATAAATAATTCTGTGATGAAAATCTATGCATATAGTTTTATGTACACCTGTTTATTTCTTTAGGGAAGATTCTTCAAAATGGAATTACCAGGCCAAATAAAGTGGTCATGTTTAAGGCTCTTGATTTTTCCAAAAATCCAAAGGATTTTTCCAAAATTCCTTCCTGGAATAATGGCATGCAGGATGACATGAGAACACCTGTCTTGCTGCTCCATGTGGAAAGATTATTTTGTATTATTAAAAAATGACCACCTGACTGTTGAAAAATGGTATCATTTTTATTGCAAGAGAGGTTGGATATTAATTGTATTTTATTAAACATAGGTCTTTCTTGTTTTGTAACATCTACTCATTCCTTTTACCTATTTTTCTACTGGATCTTAGTGTTTTTCTTGATAATTTGTATGAGCTCTTTACAGGAACACTGATCTTCTATTTCTCATACTTGTTGCAAATATTTTCTCAGTATATTAATTTTTTTTCTATTTCCTTCAAAATGGATGTGTTACATGCGTGTTAATTCTTCTACTGAATTTATGTATAGAAAGTTTAGGTCTTTTCCCAAGATCAGATAGTAATCTAAATGTTTAAATCTTTAACCAGTCTTTAACATTATCATCTGAGATGTTAGATGACAATCTATATAGATATTTCCCCCCAAGAGCCTACCCACTTTTTCTAACACCATTTAATTGAATGACCATTTCTTGATCATTGATAATTGATGTGTTTTTTTTTTTCATATATAAGTTTGTATGTATATCTGAGTTAATTTCTGGGTCATTTGACTCGATTGTTCTATCTATGCACTGGTATCATTCCACTTTAATTATGTAGGTTATACAATATATTATAATATCGTGTAGGGTATCCCTCTATATTGAACCAAAAGTTTAAACTATTTTTGTCAGTTTATATTTCTAGACATAAAGTTACAAAAAAAAATCACTAAGACTTTGGTTGTAATAGTATAAAATATAAATTAAGAGGTATCTTCATAATGTTCAGTTTTCCTATCCAAGGATGCTATATTATTTTCCATTTATTTGTTCACTTTTATATATTTGAAAGAAGTTTTGAGGTTTTATTAAAATTTTCTTTACAGAGTTTCTCAGTATTGTTAAACTTATTCCTTATATTTATTTATGTATTTTCCATCATGGGGTCTTCTGATAGCTTCAAACTCAGAATCTCTTAACCATTTTAGTGTCATAGAACTCTTTGAAAATGTGGTGAGATAGTTAGGACCTAAAGAAAAATTCCCTTAAATAAAAATGGAATATATCTGAAATTTAAGAAAGCTATTGAATTTTTGTTTGTCTGTATAGTAATCTTCTTACTTTACTGAATTCTCAGTAATTTCCAGATTCCAGATTCTATTCCTTAGAAAAAAATACTTTGAATAGTTCCAAATTGTTTAAATCAGCTAGCCCCATTATCAATTCCCTTTCTACGGTATAGGGGGAACTTCACCAAGCTCCATCTCCCATCTACCATCCCTGACTCTCTCCCTGGATGTTATTGTTTTCGTTAGACCCAGTTGGTGTTCTCTGGTTTCTGCTTCTCCTCTGTGTTCCTTAGAAGTGATGCTTTTGGTTGGTCTCTCTCCATATCTAATTGTGTTACATCATGGAGAGTTCTCTCTCCTTGAAATGACTCAATGTTTTAAACAACAGCAACATCACCACTGGAAGGCAATCAGAGCTGGTTACCTGGGTTTGCTGAAGTCAGAGAAGTACATTTCTGCCAGCAGGTGCCACTGGATGCCCCCGTTGTTGCTGTACTGGAGGAGGACACCCTCCTCTCTGCTGTCAGGCTTGTTGCACGCAGGACTCTCTCCACCGATCTGAATGTAGAACTGGACAAAGTCCACCCAGGAAGTATCCAGATCCCAGCTCACCAACTGTCTTTTCCCAGCCTTTCCAAAGAACAGAGAAATCACAGATCCAATTATCTGGGAGCAATTTGTTGTTTCAGTTTCAAATTTGTATGAGCATCCTGGCTCTATGTGAAGTTGATCATGTTCTCCTTTATTGTTGAGAGGAGCAAGTTATGTTATTTAACTGTTACTGGATACATTCTATTAGTATCCAGGACTTGATTATGAGACCCCTGAGAATGGCTAATTACACCAAAGAGTATTCAAAAGTCTTTAATAACAAGGCAAAACTCATTTTAATTGAAACACTTCCAGTATTCCCTTTGTAAATCTCCTCCAGGCGGAGTCATGGAGCAGAAAGATCATATACATACTTTGAAATCAGTTGGAGCTGGGTTTGAACCTCAGCCCATGATTCATGCTGTTCTCTAGCTGTGTGACCTTTCTGAGCGTTTATATTCCTCAGAAGTACAATATGGGTACTAATACCTTCCACATAGGGTGTTGTGACAAGTAGATGAAATAACATGCTACATAACTTGCCTAGCACATGGCATGCTTTCTTGAGGAAATAGTCTCTGCATACACATGCCTTGACCCTACTCCTACCTGGGAACTGACATGAAACAGGTAAGACAGAAACTTCTGAACAGAGAGTACTGAAGTCTCATGGGCTCCCAGTCAGTCAGCCTGTCTGTCTCTCTTGGAAACAGAGAAGGTGGGAGGGATTACTAAATAAGTTTTTGCACCCACTAAATTTTCTCTTTGTGTCTTAAAAATGTTAAAAAACTTCTTCAAATCCGGTAACTTGCTTCCTTTGTTTAGTGTCACAGGAAGTGCCCCTGCCTGTCACAGTTCTGTTGCAAGGTAGTAGACACAAATTGACAAGCTTATCATCATTTGTCTGTAAATGGTTTCATGCTAACAGGATTGAAAAAAAGTTTGCTGATAAGATTCTTTCACCCAAATCAAATCTGCCAAAGCTAATCCATGGCTTGCACTGATTGGTCCTGGAGAGTTTTCAGAAGTTCAATTAAGCTGGGAAGAAAATCTGAGATAGGATACACAGTATAGAGCAAAGCATCCCTCATACTTATAATTTAAACTCTACTCTAATCCACTAAGTTAATTAAGAAAGGGTTTCAGTTATTAGAAGTCACAGGGGAAATACTTGGTGATAATTATGGGAGTACACAGTTACCGATAAATCTAAAGCCAACTATGAGATCCCAAAATAGACAAGGGTGCCAGCAAAAAGAAATTAAGGTTAATCCTGAGACAGGAACTCGTCTTCTGGAACTCTCAATTTTATGTACATATTAGAAGAAATCTTAAAAATAATATGCATTTTCAGCGTATTAGATGTGCCTTTCATTTTTCTTCCTATTGACTTGACATATTGTTAAGTATGAAACATCTCAGAGATTACTATAATCTCACCTAGAATTTTCATGCCTTAGGATCAGTACAGGAAAAATGATTTTGAGAAGAATCTAGCTGGTTAATTCCCACCCAGCAAAGTTCTATGAAAACCCTGGCATGTGGAAATGAGCCAGAAGGATAAAGATCTAAGGTGAGGAGAAGTATAAAAATCCAGCTATCATAATTAGATGGTTGGAATGATTGCCTATTGCAAAATTCACAGAATAGTGTTGTTTTTCCAGGAGACTATGGTATTGCTCTATAATGGTTCTGAAAGTATTTTGCGGGATTTTTGTAAATGGTGAAAAATATCATATAAATGCTTGGTGTGGCACTGGAGATGTTTTTTCTAGAGTAGCACAATCAATTTCTTTCATTCAGTGACGTGAAATGATGAACACTGTTTTAAAGGGGGTAAAAAAGAAAAAAGAAATGGCTCATGGCAAACCATTTTGTCAGAATTTAGAATCTGATGTAACACACAGTTTGTAGTTTTTTCCCTATCATTCTATGATCAATGTATTTATGTGTATGTGTAGATATGTGTGACCTATATTTTGGTCACCTGATACAAAGAGCCGACTCTTTTGAAAAGACCCTGATGCTGGGAAAGATTGAAGGCAGAAGAGGGCATCAGAGGATGAGATGGCTGGATGGCATCACAGATGCAATGGACAAGAACTTGGGCAAACTCCGCGAGATGGGGAGGGACAGGGAGGCCTGGTGTGCTGCAGTCCATGGGGTCACGAAGAGTCAAGACACGACTAGGTGACTGAACAACAACAAGGAGCATTTATATCTATCTATCTATCTATGTATACATAGGCATGTAATGTGAGAGTATGTGTGTTCAGATAATAGATTAAGGATTTTCTCATTGCTGGAGAGTGGAAAATATGTCCAATATTCCCTGACATTCTAGGTTAAAATGTCTTTAGGGTTTACATAATATAATACAAAATTTAAAGGCAATGTCTTTAAAATCTTGAGCCTTTATAATAGAACCTCTAAAACACTTTACAAAACTTTATGTTTTGTCTTCCATTAAAGTTGTCTTTTCAGATGTTCAAGCTCAATTTAGAAAAGGCAGAGGAACCAGAGATTAAATTGTCAGCATCCACTGGATCACTGAAAAAACAAGAGAGTTCCAGAAAAACATCTACATCTGCTTTATTGACTATGCAAAAGCCTTTGACTGTGTGGATAACAATAAACTGTGGAAAATTCGAAAAGAGATGGGAATACCAGACCACCTTATCCAGCTCCTGAGAAATCTGTATGCAGGTCAAGAAGCAACAGCTAGAACTGGATATGGAACAACAAACTGGTTCCAAATTGGGAAAGGAGTACATTAAGGCTGTATATTGTCACCCTGCTTATTTAACATATGCAGAGTACATCATGAGAAATGCTGGGCTGGAGGAAGCACAAGCTAGAATCAAGATTGTCGGGAGAAATATCAATAACCTCAGATACGCAGATGACATCACCCTTATGGCAGAAAGTGAAGAAGAACTAAAGAGCCTCTTGATAAAAGTGAAAGAAGAGAGTGAAAAAGTTGGCTTAAAACTCAACATTCAAAAAATGAATATCATGGCATCTAGTCCAATCACTTCATGGCAACTAGATGGGGAAACAAAAGGAAACAGTGACAGACTTTATTTTCTTGGGCTCCAAAATCACTGCAGATGGTGACTGCAGCCGTGAAATTACAAGACGCTTACTCCTTGAAAGGAAAGTTATGACCAACCTAGACAGCATATTAAAAAGCACAGACATTACTTTGCCAACAAATGTCTGTCTAGTGTTTTGAGGAGTCATGTATGGATGTATGGTTTTTTGGATGTGAGAGTTGGACTATAAAGAAAGCTGAGTGCCAAAGAATTGATGCTTTTTTTTTTTTTTTAGAATTGATGCTTTTGAACTGTGGTGCTGAAGGAGACTCTTGTGAGTCCCTTGGACAGACAGGAGATCCAACCAGTCAATCCTAAAGGAAATCAACCCTGAATATTCATTGGAAGGACTGATGCTGAAGCTGAAGCTCCAATACTTCAGCCACCTGATACGAAGAACTGACTCATTTGAAAAGACTCTGATGCTGGGAAAGATTGAAGGCAGGAGGAGAAGGGGAGAACAGAGGATGAGATGGTTGAATGGCATCACTGACTTGATGGACATGAGTTTGAGCAAGCTCTGGGAGTTGGTGAAGGGCAGGGAAGTCTGGCGTGCTGCAGTCCATGGGGTCGCAAAGAGTCGGACATGACTGAGTGACTGAACTGAACTGAAAGTCATCTTTAATCAAAAAGCCAGCAGAAAAATAATTCTACTATATTTATTTGAAGATAACATTTCTTTAGAACTTCCTGTTGTTTTCCACTTTTCTTTCCAATTCATTCATTACTTTCTTCAAATAATTATTGATTGCCAATTATACCAAGCTCAACACCACGTGTTGTAAAAACAAACTAGAAAGGAGAGTTCGCAGACATAAGCAGGGAGAGTAATAACAACTTAGAGCTACAGATCAAGTTCTATTCCTTGTTAAATCCCACTTGGTCATCTGATCAGTTATCAAGGTTCAATCTATTCAGTCTCAAGGGTATTTATGGATATGTAAATATCTAATGCAAGGCAAGCATTTTTGAGTAGAGCATCTTATCTAGAAGTTTGGCTCAGTCAGTAATTCTGCATTTTGCTGGGTACTGTGAGAATAAAAATATGATCTATATACGTAGGAAACATTGACAATGAGAAAGGCAGTCAAATAAAGGAGAGATCAGGGTCATCTGCCATAGTCCTAGAAACCCCCATGGAAGTGAAACCAAGCAGGACTCTGTGGGGCTCCTGGGTACAAAAGCCTGTGCTTTTGTTCATGTGCCCTGTTCCTTGTTCGTAGGGAACAGAGTCCAGCCTTCATGACCTTCTGTGAATCCCAATAAGCAGATTCAAACAGTTGCTAGTCATGGAAGGAAGAGGATACAGAGACAAAGGAGGAACAATAAACAATAGTGCAACCTTGTGGCAGAGTCCTCGTTTTGCCTAAAGGGAAACACATAACAATATCTTTGCATTCTTGATAGAACTAAAACCCCCACCAAGTGGAAGATATCCACATTCTTCATTCCAGAGAAGACCACTGAGGCCAGATTAAAGGAACTAGAGAAGCATCAAGAAACTACCCGAGACCAGGATAAAGGAGTGCAGGCTCTACACACACATTTTCCCATGGAGTTGCTTATATGGCTCTGTGGCCATGACCACTCTCACAATGATTGCTGACCTGAAAATAGAATCTCCTCTTAAGAAGAGAGTTTTGTGGGCATTTGAGTTTCCAGTTCCAGGTATCTCTGTGGCCAGTTTCATCTAAGCCCTCCCTGTTTTGATTACAAGAACTAAATTTCCTTCTTTTTCGCTTAAGCTAGTTTCTCTCACTTAGAATTCAAAACAGGTCCGACTGATTCAAGAGAAAAAAGTATATCTATGATCCTTAGATACCTTGACAAAAATTTACAGAGAAAGTTGGTGTGGGAGGAAGAGATTGATTTTATTTTTGAAATGCTTATTTTATTAGTGGCAGGGCATGCCTATGGAAATATTCAATAAACCAATTTGAAATTCATTCTCATAAAATGTAATTATGATAGCTAACACTTATAATGGTAATTCTATGTGCCCAACACTATCCTTTATTCTTTACCTGCATTAACTCACTCCCAACATCCCACTTCAAAGTGGGATGAGACACAGAAAGATGTTATAACTCTGCAAGGTGAACCAATACATGAGTTTTGGAGCCCAGGTACAAAGCCAGGTAGCTTGACTCCAGACATCATCTTTAATTAAGAGGAAGAAATATTAATATGTAATCCTTATATGTTTAAAATATCTGTGTGTGAACACACATGTTTACTGGGCTGTTTGGATACATACTGGTTAAGGATTCATGTGTGTTAGTTGCTCAGTTGCATCTGATTCTTTGCGACCCCATGGGCAGTAGCCCACCAGGCTCCTCTGTCCATGGAATTTTCTAGGCAAGAATACTGGAGTGAGCAGCTGTTCCCTTCTTCAGGGGATCTTCCTGACCCAGGGATCAAACCCACATTTCTCACATTGCAGGCAGATTCTTTACCATCTGAGCCACCAAGGAAGCCCAGGGATTCATCATCTTGTTTTAGAACTGATGGTATCAGAGATACAATGTTTCCATTTCTGCAGGATTAGCCTGTGTATCCAGATCTATAGAATGTGTATTGGTCACTTATTGAGTATCATCTCTAAGAACAATGACCAGGGAACCTTCAGTGTCAATAGATAAGAATATCATTAAATAAAATCCATCCCTGATTTTCTGTCATTCTCTATCTTGTTTACTTGCTGATTCTTTGTTCTGCACCTGTATCAAAACAAAAGCTGTATCTATTTTTATATTTGCATAAATTAACGTGTTTTGGATTTCTGCCCCAACAGGTTCTGCAACATATCAGCCCTATGATATATCACCCACCTTTACGTACTTGCTATATGATGTGGAATGAGACATTTCCCATTGTCCTAGAACTGGTGGCTATAGTCTTTGCTGGGAAGAAGGGGCACTAGTCACTCCACATTCTAAAGAGAGCTGCTAATAATTACGGTTGCGCATACTGCTCAGGTTGCAGTCCTTTTGAAGACCATATGAAGAGAGGAGCTGGAGGAGAGAGGAAGAAAAGAATGGCCTTCCTAGACTGTAGCAAGGGAGGGGAGGGAGGTAGTTCTCTCAACCCCATCCCTCACCAAGCAATGTGTGTTAGGATTGTTCCAAGAGAATCAGACTTAGGGATTCTGGCTGGCATCTCAGTCTCTAGTTGGTGTATACTGATCTGTCTGCTTCCACTGGGGAAGCTGAAGCCTGCAAGATAAACTTCTACTTGGAGTCTCTGTTATGGACTTCATGTTAAGATGTTCCCAAATTCACATGCTGGAAGACTAACCCTTAAAGGGATGGTATTAGGAGGTGGGGCCTTCAGCAGGTAATTAAGTTATGAAGGTGGAGTCCTCATGACGGAATTAGTGCCCCTATAAGAAGAGACACAAGAGAGTCTGCATTTTCTCTCTGCTCTCTCTTGGGGATTCCCAGGTGGTGCTAGTGATAAAGTACCTGCCAGCCAATGCTGGAGATGTAAGAGATGCAGGTTCAATCCCTGGGTCAGGAAGGTCCCCTGGAGGAGGGCATGGCAATCCACGCCAGTATTCTTGCCTGGAGAATCCCATGGACAGAGAAGCCTGCTAGGCTCCAGGTCACAGGGTTGCAAAGAGTTGGACACAACTGAAGCGACTTAGCATGCATGCTCTCTCTTGCCCCCTGTGAGAATGCAATGCAAAGATGACCATTCTACAAGTGTGGAAGTAGGCCTTCACTAGACACTGAATCTGTTGGTGCCTTGATCTTAGACTTTCTAGCTTTCACAACTGTGAGAAGAAAATGTTTGCTGTTTCAGTCCCCTACTCTATGGTATTTTATCATAGTAGCCCAAGTTGACTAGGAAGGTCCCACATCAGCAGACACCACAAGCAGCCACCAAACTGAGTGGAAATAGGAACTGAGATGTTTGCTATTGATGGACAGCTGGTTACTTCCCCAGGAACAGCTCTGCACACCTCCACCCTCATCATTACCCCTCATTCCTTCAACCATATTCTTGGGATTAATTGCAATCTATTAAAAGTTTAATAAACTTAATAATCCAAGTTTAATAAATACTTCTAGAAGTACTTTCTATGTGTTAGGTACTGTTCTATGTGATTTACAAGTACTAACCCATTTAACCTGCATAATAATGCTAATGATATATATATATATATATATATATATATATATATACACACACACACACATATATATAACACCAATGAGGAAGCCAAGCCACAGACAGATTAAGGAATTTGTTCAAAGTCACACAGCTAGTAAGTGGCAGAATCAGATTGAAACAGGCAGTCTGGCTACAGAGTCGCTATTGTTAACTTCTAAGCTCCACCACCACTCACATCCTTATCCCCAGACCCACATGCTCACACACCCTTCAAAGGCTGGGATGAGAAGGGGCCAAGACCCTGCCCCACTCAAAGCCCCTCAAGACACAAGCATGGCTGGTACTAGAGGAAAGGAAAGCAATGAGCTTTAAATCAGGTACAAGAGGGGCAGGAATTTTAGATCGGCCTACCTGGATTTGTAGTAAGCTAAGACAAGCATAAAACTATAAAAGAGTTTCTCAAATGGAGTTAAGGCACAGGAATTTGGCAAAGTCCAATCAAGAGCTGAAGAAAAAAAAGAGAAGAGATAGGCTAACCCACTCCAGTATTCTTGGGTTTCCCTTGTGGCTCAGCTGGTAAAGAATGCTCATTGTGGGTTCGATCCTTGGGTTGGCAAGATCCCCTGGAGAAGGGAAAGGCCACCCACTCCAGTATTCTGGCCTGGAGAATTCCATGGACTGTATAGTCCTTGGGGCTGCAAAGAGTTGAACACAACTGAGCAACCTTCAGTTTCGATCAAAAGCAGACAAGGTGGGAAAAGATAAAACTGCGTCACATTTGTATCTTCTGAGTTCAGACTGCTTCATAACATCAGTCACATATTGAAATAGCCACTGCCCTGATCATTTACTCCTGGCTCTCACTCATACCTTACTGAAATACAGAGATGATCCGGAAGAGATGACACCACACCCTTCTTCGGGTTTTACAATTTGTCCCCCAATAACTTCTTGCCAGTCAGACTCCCAAGCACTCGGGTTCTCAAAGTCCGACATGATCGTGGAAGGAAGGGCAGCTTCTGGGCGGCACTCAGTGCCCTGGTATCCCTGGTCACACCTATGAGAGAGGAGGGCTGAGTGAACAAGTGATAGACTCGTATGTGACTGCCACAGCCATCTGACCCTCAACATTCCCTATGTCTCAGTTTTGCTCAGGTATTAGCATCTGCACTAGACTTTTCACTACACTGTTAGTCTTTGTACATGGTGGTAGGTAACAACCTTCAGTTTTTCACATGGGGAAAAAGGGACAGCATCCATTTTTAAAAGAAAGTGCTATAATGGTAGAAATGAGGATAATGAAGAAAGATATGGGCGTATATGCACATGTATGGTTGGGCAGAGGGGAACGATTGTGAAATTTTCCTGTAGGCATAAAAGGTCACATGTAAATGTTTTTCTGCTCACCCAATACTTAACTGTGGCCATGTTTCACAGTTCCTCCTTCTGATTAAATTATGTCTTTTTTAGAGTCTTTAAGTATTCAAGTGTGTTCCTATCTCATCCTCATTAGCGATAATCAACATCCCCTTCTGTATACAACTTTGAGCTTCTGGTGAAGTGGTGTAGGAAAGTATGCAGCAGCTGTTTGACTTGTGCTTTAAGACTACCAGGGGAAGGAAGGAGCAGCAATAGCCAAGCTCTATTAACTAACAAAGAGGACTGTAGGGCTAACTGATAAACTCTGAAAATATAAACCCAGGGGGTTGCATTTTAAAATTAAAATATATGGCTTTATACTTGTTGAAATGCAACAATATCTTTTACATCTAAAATAAGGATAGAAAGGAGGATCGTTTTCCTTTGGCTATTTCATTATTTATCAGGTTATCCTTAGAAGTCTGATGGCAGCTGCTGTGGTATCGTTGTAAACACACCCAGAGAAGCAGAGTCAATCGTCTCTTCTGACACATATACCTGCACGTGCCGCGGTCACAGGAGCCATGCCCACTGCACATGTTGGGGCACTGCTGCCCGATGTAAATGCTGTCTAGAGCCCACTCGTCGTGAGCTGTGTAATAGCTCTGACTCCAGCGGAAGCGGGTGGCACTGGACCTAGAAACAAGCCAAGGTACAGCAATAAAAACATGACATGGGGTCATATAGACAAAGAATGTCAGAGTTCAAAATTCTCCAGAGAACTAACTCTTTGGAACTTGAATTTAGCTGCCAATCATTTTTCTTTAGGGGTTTAATTTCCACTCAGTTACTGTCTGATTCAACAATTCCATCATGAAGAAAAGTCTACTTATCTGTTTACATCAGTCTTAATTTGAGACATTTTAAAGAAAAATACAATATCAGATTTTGTTGCTGTTGTTGCTTAGGGTTTTGATGCTAGGAAAAGAAAGGAAGATAGACTAATTTTAAAAAATAAATATTTATACAAAACTGTCTTTCACAGATGAAAATGCACAGTGTTTATCTTAGAGTAATGCAGTTTCTTACAATAAATGTATCAGTAGTTATTCGAAGACTTCCAGTTGGTGCTCAATATAAAACACAAGTTTTGTTTGCAGGTATTGTTTTGGGATTGAGAGGATGGGTGACATTGTACTATTTTCCAAGTAAGAACACCTGGGTGCTAAATCCTGCTCATTATTTCTGAAACATTAACTTGCTTGGTTTTCATGGAGAAGTGGATGTTAAGTGGAGATAAAAACTTAAACAGTCTGTTACACATAGAGAAACACTTGGGACCCTGATTCAAATGAGCTATAAAGTCTAAAGAAGACATTCTGAGAGAAATGCCAAGAGGGTTTCCATTCATTGACTACCACAAAATGTGCTTTTAAAATCACATCATACTTTTCACCTCTAGGAAGTTTCAGGCATCCGTGACCAGTTTTATCTGGTCAAAGTGCAAAACAAGAGAGAACAAACAAAAAAAGGTGCAGAATAGGCGTGCATGCTCAGTTCAATTGATTAAACCCTCCCCTAGTACACTAGCTACAGACACACTTGATCTTAATGGCTCTGAATGATCCATTAAGGTCTATTGCATCAATTATCCACATATTAAATACTCCCTAAGTACATAACAGACTGTTAAAATCCAGACTAAGCCTTTACTGTTTATTTTACTAATGATATGTGGTTGATACGTTGCATTTTTATTCATAGTAGGATAATTTCAGGATTCACCGAGATGCATCCAGTAGACACAGGTTTGCAGCATATCAGTGCTTTTCCTGGAACATACAATGAGACAGATGCCCCCTTCCATGGTAACAGTTTATATTTGTAATCTAATAGCCATCACGATTTTCATAGTCCAATTAAGAAACGTGTTTTAGAAAAGCTTACTATAAAAGTAGGGACATTATCTTGGAGCCCAACAGAAGACAATTAAGACTCATGCACCACTGTCACTTAGAGAGATGACTATATTCTTTTAAGACTGATACAATCTGAGTCAAGCTGAGGGTCACAGGTGTCTAGACTGAGTTCTCTTGGAGACAGGGATATCTTTTTATCTCAGTAGTTTGCACAGGAACAGAATAAAGTAAGTACAAAAAGTCTGTTAAAAAGTGAACCAATGAGTGGACGGACAAGGCCAGGAAAGGGCATCCTGTTTCTGACTTCTGTAGGTAACGGAGTGAAAAATGTGTTAGGAGTTAGGGGACTCGACCCCAAGGACCGTGGCTCTGCAATTTATCAGCTGTGTGACCTTTAGTGGGAAATTTAAGCCTTCAGGAGCTTCTAGTTTCTCACCTCTCAAATTAGGAGATTGGGCAAACTGATTTCTAGGATCCTTTCCAGCTCAAAAATTTAATGACTACTCTTGTGATTTGTTGACAGAGGTGATAGTTTATTTTCTTTATAATCACGTGCTTACATAAAACCCATGGCATATATTATTTTGAAGTTTTGATATTTCAAATATTAAAATGGGGTTGGAGGGTTTCAGAAATCTGACCTAATTTATGCTTCTAAACAATCACATTAAACACAGTCGAAATCCTTTTTATAAATAACTTATCCTTACATATATATCTCTGAAAAGATATTTCATTAAGATAAATCGCTTAAAGTGAATTATTCCATTTAAAATGACAACCCACAGTTTCATGTGCTGATGTTAATTAACAGAAAAGAAAGTGAAAGAGGTTGAATATTGGCTTCATTTTTAGTGAGAAAAAAAAATTAGTTGTGTGAGCAATCTCCAGCTGATCACATGTGAGAACACAAGGTGTGATCTCACTGATTTGCAGCTGCGTCATTGCTAAATATCACCCCCAATACAAATATTTAATTTGCCAGTTTTCTCTTTCTCTCTCTTCTTCCTCCTCCCTGCCTCTGTCTCTCAAAATTAAGTATTCTTAAGAAGAAAATTCTGTGCACTTTGGATTGAGTCTGGATGTATCACTACTGCCTAGTGGATCATGAAATGAATTTGACCTGCATTTAAAATCCAAACTATAGATTTTCAAATGCAACAAAACTTGACAGTCTTTTTTTTTCATTTGATTTCCCCCCTTATAAACTTCTAGAGTGAAATAAAATACCACTGAGTCATCTCTTGATAGTTAGCTAACTCAAGGAATCAAATTAAATGAAAGCTGACTAAACTGTATTTTCTACCTTCAGCGACTGTAATTACATTTACTCAATTATTCTGAAACTCATTCAGTCATTAGGTGTTGATTTGTTTATGAAATCAGCAACTGACAGCTGTTTGGGTCTCATTAGGCTCTGTTCTTATGTAAATGTCTCTCATAAAAATGAAGTTAATTTTCATTGGGTAACAAATGTTCAGTTCATATAAAATATAATTTCTTTGAGCAGGTGTATATATATTCAATATTTCAATCTAAGTTGTCCTATCTAGCATATCTTCTAAAGTTAACAGATCTTTGACAATGCAGATCACATTTGCTTGTCTGTGTTCAATTTATAGTTGCATATGCTTGAATCAAAACAGCAGAAGAAAGATTTGGCAGAAGGAATACTGCTTCAAACTAAACTGTAATTTCTTCTCCCAATGCTTGGGAAAAACCTGCCATCTGCAAAAGTCTGAAATGCACATAAGAAAGTTAACAAGAATGTCAAAGAGAATAAACATACTTTATCTTTAGAGCAGAGCTTTAGAGCATTATAGGTACAAAAACAAGGATAATAACTAGTTGGACATTATTTTTCAAACTATTACTGCAATAATGTTTAGTTTAAGTATTAGTCAGTAGAAATATTAAAATAAATATCCTATTGGATTGTTTGTGTTTCAGAAATAGTTTTACTTTCCTCACCCAGGGCTTTGAAGGAAATTTGGAAAAGCAGAATTCAATAATTTACCTACATGTACATAAAGGCAAGCTGTCAAGAGTGAATAATCTAGTAGATTTTTTTTTCAGTTTGTAAAAAAGATATGGCTTGTAATAAAACATCTCTTTGGTTCATCAAAGCATACTAAATTGAAATTCTATTTAATTTCCCAACATTTAATGAATATCCCAACAATGTGTCAGGTGTTGTATAAAAACTAAAGACTTTAAGAATCAACATATTTCCTCTCAAGTGCCTAATAAATGAAGGAGGACATGGCAATCCACTCCAATATACTTGCCTGGAGAATCCCATGGACACAGGATCCTGGCAGGCTACAGTCCATAGAGTCACAAAGAGTTGGACACGACTGAAGCAACTTAGCATGCAGGCACGCATGCCTAATAAACATTGATGAGAATTTGATTTCTTTTTAACTACAGTAAAACTCAACCCAATAGTAATATCTTTTAAGCTAAGAGATAATAATACAACATACAATTTTAGTGTTAAGTAACCTGCAAAGTCCTTTTTTGATAAAGGACAGTACTTTTTGGGATACTGTCTACACTATGGTAATTAAGGATAATAATTTAAAATGTTTCTGGGAACATTCCCAGAATAAAACATTTACTCTGGGAATAAAAATCTCTTAAATATATTGTCAGGATTATCTTACCATCATAATTTTGAAATGGTAACCCACATGTCAATGAATAAAAATCAGTGGTTTTAAAATAATGAGGTGATATACATAATGGTGAAATAATGGGGCCAAATTAGAAAAAAAACAACACCTCAGTAGCTTTGCACAAACTATGACTGGTATTTCAATTGTTTGATATAATGTTTTTTTATAATCTTGATAGACATGCTTGGAATATCACTGAAATTAAATATAAATCTTGATTATATTCCCAGCAGTAGATATAAAAGAGTAGGATGTTAGAGAAAGGAACAACTTGTTATACAAAGCATAATTGAGTATCCAGGAAATAGTTCACAGTTGGATATAAAAAATATGTGAAAATTAAAGTTCAAGCATTTTGTTCAAACTGACATAATGATGAATCTTTAAAAATAATCAAGGAGGCATTCTTCTATAATGCAGTAATTCAATGTTCAACTAAAGGAGGTATAATAATAATTTTAGGTGGTTATCTAGCCAATTGTTTTTGTGTGGAACCTAACTCTCCTATAAAATAGTCCAAGAAGGGTTGATTTAGTAATTTTCTTTAAAAAAGGGGTCTAGGAAAGCAGATACCACAGAAAAATATAATTTTTTGTCTCTTTTATGCCTTTTCTGCTACACAAATCATAGAACTCCAGAAGTGCTAGGGATCTTTAAGATCATCTAATTCAACCTCTTCATCACACACATAAGGAATTACGTTTGAAGAGGCTGTGAATGGCTAAAGCATGAAGTCAGTCATTAACAGAGATATACTGAGAACTCAGGTGTTCTAATTTCTGGTCAAAGGTTCTTTCTTGGGTGAGCTTATCTTGTTCCAGGGTTTAAATAGTACTCATAATTTTTAACTTTTAAGTCCAACCCCCCTGTTGAGCTCCAGATTCCTAAGTCCAATTGGCTTTTTTACTTGAATAGATAAGTATCTCAAAATTCATAGCACAAAACATAAGAAGCACATGACTTTTAATCCACTGTCCTAAATCCACTCCTCCAGCCTCTCCCTTCTTAGTGGTACTACCATTCGACATTTTTCCCAGGCCCAGAATTTAGAAACTGTTTTTGATTCTTCCCATTCTACCCCAGCTCCCATCTGGTCCATCAACAAGTCCAATTTCATTAAAATAAATTTCACAAACGATGGCTCTTGCCATGTCTGTTATAATCATACTCCAAGCCACCTAAACTTTTAATGCTTGGACCACCCCACACCCCCTGAACTGGTCTTCCTGTCTTCACTCTTTATCCTACAGTCTATTCCTCAAACAGGCCTCGGAGTGATCAGTCTAACATGAAACAATGCAATATTTGGGGAAAATGTGCTTTTCTCTTTCATATTATTAAATATTAAACTTTCTCCCTAGTTACTGAGGCTTCTGCCTGGGGTGATCTTCATTCTTACTGAAAGAGAATAGAGAAAAAAGGACATGTTAAGCTTTTAAAAGAAAAAGTAGGCCTTTGCAGGAAGAAAACAGATTTGCAATCCAAACTTTTGACATAGGAGTTTTTAGATTCCCGTGTCATTCCCCTTCATATGTCAAACCCAAAGAAACTGGCTCAATGAGTTTTCCCACAAAATGAAAAGTTGAGGCAAAAAGAGAGATGAGGAAAAGCTACGACACTTTGGAAACCAAATTTTCATTAGCTCTATTTTTCAAATATCCGCAGTACAAAAAGAAAGATCTTTTGATTCTAAAATAAAAAAAAGAGGAATGCATACTGCCATCTTGCGCTTAACTCTTCTTCATATTCGTCATGCTAGAAGAGACATAAAAGTTAAAGTGACAGTCATATCTGAAGATGGCATCTCTCACCAAGTTTTCTGGGGAAGAAGCACTATGACTCTTCTCCACTGTGTGAACTCACTGGCGTGGTAAATACTTGCTGATGTAAATTCCTGACAACTCGGCATACTTGGAAGGCATTCCTAAAAGAGAATCAGGCAAAAATTTAACTCAGCTTCCATTTCCTCAGAGCAATATGTTTACTCACTCAAAACAAGAGAAAAAGACCTTAGAGAAATCTAATGTTATCATCTTAAACATTTGCAATATGGATACGATCCATAAATTTTCCTTCTGTGAAGCTAAAATATTTGGGAAATAAATGAGATGCCACAAGGCAGTGAAATGTCTTCTAGTGGCCACATGGAAAAACAGAAACTGGATTAGGGTTCCTTTTTTGACCTGTTAGTGTCACACTGTTATTTGGTGCATACTGTCGCTTCAGTCATGTCCAACTCTTTGAGACCTATGGACTGTGGCCCTCCAGGCTCCTCTGTTCAAGGGATTTACTGGGGAAGAATACTGGAGTGGGTTGCCATGCCCTTCTCCAGGGGGTCTTCCTGACTCAGGTATTGAACCCATATCTCTTATGTCTCCTGCACTGCAGGTGGGCTCTTTACCACTAGCACCACCTGGTAACATTATCCTATTCAGTATTATTTATGCATATCAGTAGTACCTGCATAAATATCATACTATATGTATGAATCACCAGTATGTATATAGAAAGAAGTACATTTTATTTCAAGAACCTGGAATTATGTATTTCTTTTTTGTTTTTTAAGGCAGGAGATATATTCTTAGTATGGTCTACCTGCAGGTGAAGAACAGATGAAGACATGCTACAGGGAAAGAAGAAAGAGATTTTAATAGAGAAAGAGAGCTAGAGAAAATAATGTTGAAAACACCATCCTAGTATATCTATTACCATATTTTAAAGATTTTCAATTCCCTTTAGCATCTGATAGTGCAAAATATGGCATCCTTATAATCCATTGCTGAGTTTATGTCAATTCTGTTACAAGTAATATTGTTCCTTTTCAACCAAACCTAAACTTTTAGAATTTTAATTCTCTGCTCCCTACGTAAAAAAGTGAAGTCTACTTATCACAAGTTTTAGAGAAAATAGACTTACCTCTTGGACGAGGTGCCAGGTGAGGCCATGGTTGGTTGAATACTCTAGTTTCACCTGATTGTCCATGTGTGGGGTATATTTCTGGCCACAGCCCATCACCAAACTGAACTGAATCATGTAAGATGCTCCTATCTGCATTGATTGTGTTTCTACATAGCGCATACTTGAGGCAAGTTTAGAATCGCCTGTAAAACTGAAAGACAGAGGAGGAAATCAGAAAATTAAAACCAGCAATATATTAGGGAAAAATTAAGCTTTTCATTTCATACCGTATGCCAAAATAATTTTATTTTACTTATTTAAATCTTGCCAAGTTCTAGAATGGATTTCAATTAATTTAAAAAAGGCAATTTGAAATATCAAATATCAAATATCTGCCTATCAAAGAAGCAATATTTTTTTTTAAGTTGATACCTTGAATGGTCAAATATATTTGAAAATGGGTATGCACTCATGTACTGCTCAAATAGATAAAAAATGTTTGACTTGTTTCATGGACTCTATCCCAAGGAAATAACTGGCAAACATTTTAACGTCAAACTATAGGGAAACTGGAATGCTTAAGTAAACTGGTATAGTCACTTGACAGACTGTCCATATTTCACATATTTATGAAGGTAATATAATCAAATTATTGTACATGTGACAAAAATGTTTTTAAAAAATTTGCAAAATGATATATGATGGAAATTAACCAGAATGTTTGCAGTGGCTGTTTGGTGGTAGGAAATGGGACAATTTGAGATTTTTCAGTTTTAAAATTCTCCAGTCTTCAGTACTCAGCTATTAAATACTGAAAATGAGATAATGTGGTTTTAATGGTTGTAAAATCCCCATGATTGACTGGGTCCCAGGTGGCACAGTGGTAAGGAATCCGCCTTCCAGTGCAGGAGACGCAGGTTTCATTCCTGGGTCGGAAAATTCCCTGGAGGAGGAAATGGTAACCGACTCCAGTAATCGTGCCTGGAAAATCCTGTGGACAGGGGAGACTGGCGGGCTGCAATCATAGAGTTGTAAAGAGTCAGGCACAATTCAGCCACTGAGCACACATGAGTACGCAACTGAGTATTATGTGATTATAAAGTGCTTGAAGGTACGCACAATTACTTTCAGAGAAAAGTTCTCAAGGAATTTATAACCTACCAGAGGAAATTAAAACAATCTCAGATATGCAGATGATACCACTCTTAATGGCAGAAAAGTGAAGAGGAAATAAAGAGCCTTTTGATGAACGTCAAAGAGGAGAATGAAAAAGCTGGTTTGAAACTCAACATTAAAATAAATTAAGATCATGGTATCTGGTCCTATCACTTCGTGGCAAATAGAAGGGGGAAAAGTGGAAACAGCGACAGAATTTATTTTCTTGGGCTCCAAAAACACGGTGGATTGTGACTGCAGCCATGAAATTAAAAGATGCTTGCTCCTTGGAAGGAAAGCTATGGCAAACCCAGATAGCATATTAAAAAAACAGAGATATCAATTTGCTGACAAAGGTCCATATAGTCAAAGGTATGGTTTTTCCAGTAGTCATGTGAGATGTCCATAAAGAAGGCTGTCAATCTGTAGTGCTGGAGAAGACTCTCAAGAGTCCCTTGACTGCAAGGTGATTTAAACAGTCAATCCTAAAAGAAATCAATCCTGAATATTCATTGGAAGGATTGATGCTAAAGCTGAATCTCCAACAGTTTGGCCACCTGATGCGAAGGGCAGACTCATTGGAAAAGACCCTGATGCTGGGAAAGATTGAAGGCAGGAGGAGAAGGCGGAGGCAAAGGATAAGATGGTTAGATAGCATCAGTGATTCAATAGACATGAATCTGAGCACACTTAAGGAGACAATTGGACTTTGCAGGTGGCACTAGTGGTAAAGAATCTGCCTGTCAATGCAGGAGACATAAAGAGATGGAGGTTCAATCCTTGCAGGTTTGGTCCCTGAGTTGGGAAGACCTCCTGGAGGAGGGCATGGCAACCCACTTCAGTATTCTTGCCTGGAGAATTCCACGGACCGAGGAGCCTGGCAGGCTACAGTCCATACAGTCACAAATAGTCAGACATGATTGAAGTGACTTAGCATGAATGTACGCAGGAGATAGTGGAGGTCCATGGGGTCACAAAGGGTCAGACACAACTTACTGACTGAACAACAACAACAACAAATGAGGAAATGGAGACAGTAAATGGCAGACACTTAACAAGAAATCAGCTTTGCCTGATTCCCAAACTTCTCAACCAATACACTATCTCTTTGTCCTTCTATTACTCTAAGACAGAGAAGAAAACTCTGTAGTTTTAAATAATTTTCATTTATAGTTAATTTAAAAACCATTAACTTTCAGTTACTATGCAGTGATGTGCCTATCTTAAGATATAGAAAACCATGACTCCTGCTATGTGTAAGGGTATGCAAAATGCAATCTAGAAAATATGAAGCTGTGGGATGCAATTTTTAGTAAAATTACAAAATAAAAGATATCAGCATTGAACAAAAATACTAGTAAGCTATATGGGCACAAACATCTATATAAATTTCATAGTCTTTAAAACAGGCAAAAAACAAAACAAAACCCCAAACACTTTTCCCTGTGAGAAATGAATGTTGCTTTTAGCTTCAAGGGTTATATGCTCTTTCAACTACCCTTTATGAGAAAGGTTATCAGAGGCAAAAACTAGCCTTCATTTAACTGTTTGACGGTGCAATATATACCCTAGACATCCAGTTAAAAACGCAGAGGGCATAGTAGCACATGGGCTGAATGGTCCACAGGCCACATAGACTAGGCACTAAAACTTTCTCACTCAAATCATACAGAGTACTTCTCCACTCCAGCATTCCTGAAATAATTTAAGATTACTTTCACAATCAGCACGCCTTTTAAATTCCTCCTTTCTGAGATGGTTTAGTGTCCTGGCAATTCTGTACAGATTCAGAAAGAAGTGCTGGGTTTTGCAAATGGCGCCTGCACCTAACTTTTGCATGGTTACAAATTAACCACGAAACTTGGTTGGAGAGAGGAAGCATTCAAACCTGAGAAGTGTGTGCTCAGTGAGCTCCCCTGATGATAACAGCTTTTAAGGTTGCCAAGACACCAAGATAGAAAACAAAACATATAGAAAAAGGACAAGTTAAGAGGCTAAATGAGGATGGTTACACAGTGATAATAAAATTCTTATTTGGCATGAACATCTGTACCACCAGCAGTTGTGGGCAGATGTTGTTGGGTAGGTAGGCTGATTCAGCTGCCATCTAGAGCATCCCTCTCCCCAGTCACCTTCTAGTAATTGGTCTAGGGGTGCCCATGTCCACCAATGAGTTTTTACCAGCGAGATGTAAGTGAAAGATGCTTTGTGGGTAAATTCACTCAGCTTTTTTCTCTTTTATTTATTTTTATTTTTTGGCTGCACTGCATGACATCAGTTCAGTTAAGTTGCTCAGTCGTGTCTGACTCTTTGAGGCCCCATCGACCACAGCATGCTAGGCCTGCCTGTCCATCACCAACCCGGAGTTTACTCAAACTCATTTCCATTGAGTCGGTGACCCCATCCAACCATCTCATCCTCTGTCATCCCCTTCTCCTCCTGCCTTCAATCATTCCCAGAATCAGGGTCTTTTCAAATGAGTCAGCTCTTTGCATCAGGTGGCCAAAAATCAGAGTTTCAGCCTCAACATCAGTCCTACCAATGAACATTCAAGACTGATTTCCTTTAGGATGGACTGATTGGATCTCCTTGCAGTCCAAGGGACTCTCAAGAGTCTTCTCCAACATCATAGTTCAAAAGCATCAACTCTTCAGTGCTCAGTTTTCTTTATATTCCAACTCTCACATCCATACATGACTACTGGAAAAACCACAGCCTTGACTAGATGGACCTTTGTTGGCAAAGTAATGTCTCTGCTTTTTAATTTGTGATCCACACAGTCAAAGGCTTTGGCATAGTCAATAAAGCAGAAATAGACATTTTTCTGGAACTCTCTTGCTTTTTCAATGATCCAGCAGATGTTGTCAATTTGATCTCTGGTTCCTCTGCCTTTTCTAAAACCAGCTTGAACATCTGGAAGTTCACAGTTCACATATTGCTGAAGCCTGGCTTGGACAATTTTGAGCATTAATTTGCTAGTGTGTGAGATGGGTGCAATTGTGCAGTAGTTTGAGCATTCTTTGGCATTGCCTTTCTTTGGGATTGAAAGGAAAATTGACTTTTTCCAGTCCTTTGGCCACTGCTGAGTTTTCCAAATTTGCTGGCATATTGAGTCCAGTACTTTCACAGCATCATCTTTCACAATTTGAAATAGCTCAACTAGAATTCTATCACATCCACTAGCTTTGTTTGTAGCAATGCTTTCTAAGGCCCACTTGGCTTCACATTCCAGGATGTCTGGCTCTAGGTGAGTGAGAACACCATTGTGATTATCTGGGTCGTGAAGATCTTTTTTGTACAGTTCTTCTGTGGATTCTTGCTACCTCTTCTTAATATCTTCTGCTCCTGTTAGGTCCATACCATTTCTGTCCTTTATTGTACCCATCTTCGCATGAAATGCTCCCCTGGTATCTCTAATTTTCTTGAAGAGATCTCTAGTCTTTCCCATTCTATTGTTTTCCTCTGCATGACAGGCAGGATCTTAATTCCCCAACCAGGGATCAAACCTGTCCTCCCTGCATTGGAAGTATGGAGTCCTTAACCAATGGACCTCCAGGGAAGTATCTACTTGCTCAGATTTAATACAAGCTTCTAAAGAGAGACAGACGGATTTGGCTGGCATGTCCTTCTGCCTATTGCTCCTAATGCTTTCTCCCTAATGGGGCAGTGGCCATTCTATGACAATAACGGGAAGAAATATGCAGTTGGAGCTTTCTCTGCAGAGATGGTGGAGTAGAAAATGAAGAGAGCATGGGTCCCTGATGGCCTTGTTAAGCTGCTTCCAGCCCTTAATCCTAGGACGGCTTGTTACAAATGACAAAATAAGCCTTTTCACTTTTGTTTATACCATGGTCAGTCCTTTCTGGTTGTTCTTGTTGCAACTGAGAGCTGAATGCATTTCTGATACACCTGCCATACTTCACAGTACTGCATGATACCACTGGTGGTGGTGGTGGTGGTTCAGCCACTAAGTCGTGTCCGAGTCTTTGTGACCCGATGGACTATAGCCCACTGGGCTCCTTTGCCCATGGGATTTCCCAGGCAAGAATACTGGAG